TATTCGCTATACAGGTTCGTTTTTAGCGATTTTACTCTGGAACAGGGTATCGATTTCACCGATTTTTCTCTGGAACAGGGTCAGGGTTTAATTCCGGAATTATCGATGCTGGGTAGAAATTYACGGGGTAAAACACCCCCCGGGATAAAGTRATAATGCTTTATTAAGTGAAAATTGATTTGTCTACAAAAGTCGAATGAAAGAGTATTTTACAACAATAATAAATAAATGTAATTAAACGAATCAAAATATAAATTATAAAATATAAAAAGGAATAAGCTCTAAAAATTCTTCGATAAAAAAAATAAAAGAAATGCATCAGTAATCAGATAATAATGGATTCTAWAATTGCTTTACTCCATATATTAAACTTTTGATGACAACGACCGTGAACAGCTGATCCTCGCCTCACGCCTCGAGTGAGGTTATCCAAAATCAATAAAGTAGAATAAACAACAAAATGAAATTAAAAACAAGCTCTAAAAATTCTTCGATAAAAAAAAAGAAAAGAAATGCATCAATAATCAGATAATAATGGATTCTATTATAATTGCTTTACTCCATATATTAAACTTTTGATGGCAACGACGATAAACAGCTGATCCTCGTCTCACGCTACCTCGAGTGAGGTTATCCAAAGTCAATAAAGTAGAATAAACAACAAAATGAAATTAAAATCAACTTTGATAAGTTTTTTGGTAGTTCTGATTATAGCAGTTTCAACCGTGACGTGACTTATGAACTGTGAAGTTAATTTCAAAAAGTTGTAGTCAGACCTAGTCAAGCAACAAAAGTGCAAGAGTCGACTTAGTGGTAATTCATACATTTTTTTCGCAAGTATTTAATAAAACAGTTTTTTTTTTGTGAAACACAACTTGACTATTCAAGTGTGAAGAAAACAATGCAATTAGAGCTTACATATACTTAATGCAGTTGGTTGCACAAAGGTTCTCTAGCTTTAAAAAGCTCTAAAATAAAAACAAATTTAACAGTTAAAACAAATTCATCTGTTCGATTTCGAGTAATATGCAAAAATCACATCCATGTAATATTTGTCATTATTTTTATCAGTTCGGTTTTCATTGTTTTTCTCGGATGAATATATCACATAACCCCTGGATCTATATTCCCAGGTGTCTAAAAGCCGGGGGCGGCATTGAAATATTCCAGGGAAGACTTGGGGCTAACGAGCTAATTAATTGGAGAATATACATTAATATGCAGGGTGAATATGCAATATTCCCTTTGTTAAAGCGCAGGGTACCCATCGTTGCTTTATATTACGATCAAATTTCGATCAAGTCCTGAAAAAATACTGATTTAAAGAGCCTGCGGTTGTCCGACATAATCGAAAACCGAGCTTGGTTACCCTGTGCTTAAAAATCAACACAATTAATACACAGTCTAATTGATACTAGGCTACATGTATGATAGATATACTCAATTACGTAATGATAACATGAGAAAGCCGAGCAAGTTCTAACAGTCATTAGCAATCATCCCCTTCCCCTAGAACACCTTTCTCCCACATGGTTACTTCTTCATCTACTGAGATTGGCTCTGCTTGTTTAATTATGCAGCTTACTAGTCCTCCTTTAGAAGTCAATCTTTTCATTTCGGCATCCAAACTGTCTTGAAATAGCTTGAATTGAAAATTCTCGAATATCTTTAAATGCTGGAGACGATTTTCCTTTATATGACGCTGCAAACCGGCACACAACTGATATAGTGAATTGGGTGGATATTCTTTTTTGTCGGTTTTCCGTATTTCGTATACAAACTTGCTCAACAAGAAACAAAGTTCGTAGTCACACAGTGTTTTAAGAAGGTGGCTTGTTGGAGCTATTACAAAGCTGTCAGTTTCTCTCTTCTACTTCTGCATCATTCATTTTCGTTATGCCACAAGAAGGAATTTCAACGGCTGTTTCACTTTCCTTTCCAAACACAAATTCATATAAATCATCAACTTCATTGTTAGAGCTCTGTTCTTCTGCAGTAAGACGTTTATTCGACCTGAGAAGATACTGCGGTGCTGCCTTCGAAACTGTTTTGCGTTAGAAAAATCTCGGCTGAATCCGAATCTCTCGACATCATTACTCAATCAGAATGTCGAATAAAATGAACTGATCCAGAAAATTGCAAGTATGTTAGAGCTTAACTAAGGAAAAAAACTTTCAAAGTCAAATGCTAACAAAAGAAATACAATCACGAAAATACTGAAATGCGTCTACATGCATGCTGCATGCATGATTGCTTTCATTGAAGTCTCGGTGTAATTAGCACAATTGTTATTCACTACAAATTAACCTCGACGTTTTAACATAAACAACATAAATAATTAGTCTGAAATTTGTACTTAGCAACCGCGAATTTACTGCTAAATCCGTCTAATTGCATTGATTGTTTTCACTGAATATCGGTGTAATTAATAACATTGTTATTTTGAAAACCTCACTGATGTAAAAATAAGTCAGTTATCGGCCTTCAGCTCGTGGTTATGTGTGCTCGGGCTGCGCCCTCGGTGAATATATCATATAACCCCTCGCTTCAGGCCGATAACCCTCTCTCCCACATTATTCGAAATTGAACAGATGAATTTGTTTTTAACTGTTCCAAAACATTATTACTAAACATAGTATTTACGTCATATCACTTGATAGTAGTGCCTAAACCACAGGCAACCCAAGCACAGCAGTTGAACTTTACTCTGAATGTATTGGATTAAAAAAAAAACATTAAAATACATCTTACCTTAATTTATGTGTTGTTGATGTTATTTAACATTGCTGTGTGTGGTTTTGAAGTGATTTAGAGCTATTAAAAAAACATACATACCTTGATCGTTACAAGGCAGTTGCGGTTACAGAACCTTATAGAGAAARATGATTTACTAGAGGAAAACAATATTGCATGAATAGGTAGATTTAGGTCTGCAAAAATGACTGATTTCTTTCGGAGTTGTTTTCCAGAATGAGTCACATTCTTCTTATTTATCCTTGTTTTATTGTTGTATTTTTAAACACTAAAAGGAGGTGGCTAGCCAACATAATCACCCTTCCCTCCCTCCCTCCCAACCCTTAGATCTACCCTWATATGGTAAGCAAGTCATTAAAGTATTTCTGTSATTTTAGATCCGCGAATTAATGGCAACCGGGAGGACAGAAGCAGTTACTTAGATGGAAACCAAGAAGACATCGGTAGGCTTTGGTTCATTTTTAAGAGCATCTATTGTTAGTTCATTCAAGGGYGCCAGGACAACCATAACAGTTTTTGAATGATATTACGATGGTATTTGTTATAGCTTTGAATATCTTAGAAATTCATTTATCTGACTTCTTGTGTATATCCCGATTCTATCCCGAATTCCTTGACGGTTGGTCGGCACATTTCTCCATTCCAATAGGCTAAAAGCTGTGTGTTTACTCGTTTTACTCCAGTACGCCACGTTATTTAAGYAGTGTATAAAGAACTCAAGAACTCCAACAACATCCAGAAATTGTTAATCATTTTAGAAAAAAAAGCTAAAAAATGCGAAAACAGTGATTATGCATATTAAACTTCTACTGACTGAGCATGTGCATTTGCCAAAATTTAAAGAATTTTGATCCCACACGTAGTCTATGCTATACTGCATGTCTGCACATTGATTCAAACTGATTTAAAACCTAGCAAAGGTCTATGATGCGACATTAAAACTGAGACCTTTGCTAGTGTTGGGTTGCGATATAGCGCCGATGACCTTGAACGTCAGTTCTTTATATCTGATATAGAACTGGTTAATAAAACATCAGTTCTTTATATCTGATATAGAACTGATTGATAAAACATCAGTGCTTTATCGGGATATAAAGGCCCATCATGTGACCCAATCATTCGATGCTCATTGGACTAATAGCTCATGAATTGTTTATTAGTTGTTCAAGAACGGTCGTTTACTCACGGGTAACCCAGGCTCAATAACTTAGTATAAATTATGTCGTTATCACAATTTTGTTAGATATCAGCCAATCCAATTTGAGAATACTTTCTTCTTTTGGGACCCCTGTGCCTCCGGACCAAATTAGTTATAGTCAGCATTACTTTAGTCCGAATATTAGAATTCAACGGCCGATAAAAATAACTTCCCCAAAAGCAATTCATTGACGAAGAGCTTCAAAAGAATCCTTGGACATTCATGTTTATTGTGGAGCAGTTAAATGTGGACAAAAAAATGGATTTTGACAAAAAATCGAGTACAAGTGGAGTTACTGTTGGAAATCTTTGCGTCCAGTCTCCAACCTTGTATTAAGTAACAATGCGCTAAAGAACTAGGGAGCTCTCTATTGTTCTGCGGCATAGCAAGTTCCCCATGTACGAATGTCTTGGTTTTCACACTGATTAGGTATTAACCTGTGGGTAACACATTTTTGAAATAAAATGTGGATAAACTCTATTTTGAAACAAAGTTTCTTTTGTATTAAAAGCTCYTATCCAATCATTAGCACTCWAAACAATAGCCAAAAGATGCTTCTAATTTGCAATGTTCCCCWCATAGAATTGCCTTAATATTGCATGAAGCTAAAGAAAGCTTTCATGAAAGCGAAAACAGACATTAAATAAAATATTAGAAAATTCGCTAACTTGTGAAATTACAGCAGATTTTCATGTTTTAACCAATGGGATGGATGGATTATACAATGCGCAATTAGYACCTTCTTGCATTCCTGTGCCGTTTGCTTCCCTAGTTCTTACTCGGGGCATTACTTAATATAAGTAGGCTAAACAATGGCATATCAAAAATGGCGTAAAACCTCTTAAAAATGATAGATTTTCAACCAGGAAGGTAAGAGACGTTTTATTTATGGTTATATGATATTATTTAGCCAGAAAAAAAAATTGTGCGAACGACATATTTTATACAAAGTTATTGAGCATGGGTTACCTGTGGTTTATTACGTACTGGTACGTACCGTCCGCTTATGCAACCGCGCAATTTAATCTACGTCACTAACATCGTTAATATGGGTATGAAAATTACCCTAAGTTCACTAAAATGGGCATTTATTTATTAATAAGTTTATTAATTGTCTTATCTCGTTTGAATTCTTGACTAAAGTTTTATATTTTAAAATTTAGGTGAAATWGCTAAAAGATCTGAAAGCGTGGTGACAGTACCATCAGGTAAGTGAGATGTTGCTCACCATAGAAATGTTTTTTTTTTTGTTAATTTTGGCCAGAAGATCTAATGTTGTGAATGTTTTTTAGTTCACTACCAAACACCATTATTAAACACGCACACAAAACTGACGTAGTTAAAAAGATATTGTTCCCACTGTTATTACCTGTTTTCATAGCGCTGATGCCTCTTGCTGTGTACCCGCTGACCAAAAGTGAACTAGCGAGAGATCTCTTGGGATTAAAATTGAACCCGGATGGTATCATGAGCAACGTGAAGTTTTCTACTGGTCCTTTTGGAACACTTGATGGGTCTTTCCTTTTCAAGGGAGCAGCGAATAGCTATGTGAAATTCCCAAATGGACAACTCAAAAAGGCCGAGCATTCAATAACGCTATGCGCTTGGTTTAAAAACGAGGGTGGCGCAGGCCCCATATTTAACTTCGATGAGTACGGCTGGGGGGTGCATTTTTGGACGGATGGCCCCGACTCAATCTTTGTTCGCATAACCAAAAAACCGGGAAATCAATTTACAGAAGGAATAATCGTAAGAAACGTGAAACCTAAAGTTTGGCAGTTTGCATGTACAACTTACGATAGCAGCAGCGGAAAGGTAAAGATTTTTGTCAACGAGACATTTCAGGCTGAGAGATCCATTGGGCAAAACCTGTTGCTCGCGACGGAGAAAGACGTGAGAATGGGTGCGAGGATAAACGACGGCCGTTACTTCAAGGGTAGCATCTCTTGCATGCAAGTGTACGGAACCGCTCTGACTGCCGAGCAAATCAAAACTTATGCCAAGAAACSMTGTTACCATGAACGTAAGAAATGTTTCATTATTTGTTTTTCACAACAAGTGTGCACAATTGGATAAGGTGTCCAGCGCCATCTTAAAAGGAAGCTCTTTGATCAAAAGGAGACAGTTATTGAGCCTGCAGTGCCGTAGATACGTTCATTCACAAGTGTTGCAGGCTCAAATGATGTCTTGATTTGATGAAAAAGCTCGGGCACCTCTCATGGTTTCCTCTTACGCAAGAAAAACTGCTGTCAMATAAAACAGCGGCTTTTWTTCGCTTTGAATTTGAAAATGGAACATTATATTTGTTATTGATACCAATGTAWTTTTTTAGCATTGTTTGGGCCTGAACATAAGCCATACTGGTGTGGATCAAACCGTGAAATAATAAAGTATCACGTGACAAAAGAACAGTGTAAATTTTTGTGCYTGCAAAAGTGTGGATGCAAAGCTATTGAATGGTGGGAAAAGTACAACTTTGCCTGCTTTTGGTGTAAAGCGCCTGACCAGAAACAACATTACCCYTGGTYGAGAGATCTGTCATATGCGCCCCACGTGATAGAGCGAACTGCGAGCAGCTGTGGTACCAAGTGATCTCGCGTCCAGTCTCCTCACTGTCAAGTATATATTTGGCTGTTATGTAATTCAWACCGTATCTATAAATGTGATAAAATAACTTACAACAATAACAACTGTAACATTCTAACAATAAACAAATTTGAATGTCACTATTTGTTTTCTTATCTTGCCATCTTAAAGAAAACGAATCCTATGTGTGCTTGAATGACAGCTGTCAATTAAGATCTAGGTGTTTCTTGTTAGTTTAAGAGTGTTTTTATTGATGTTTTTTTTTTTTTCAAAAATGAACTGAAACAGGAAACCCACTATTGAATGTGCCATTTTTTAGGCCATGTTTTTTTGGCAGAGATTTCAGACCAGTGTTGAAAATTAATTTGTGTATTTTGTCAATTGTTAATCGSCTTTTTGGAGATAAGWCGTCCGCTAAAAACTGTGGAATTCTTTCTCAGTAGTTGTCAGAATTATCATTTATCAGTCATTACCTAATTAAGTGAATGGGGTAATGAGAGGAAAAAATCMAAAAAATATATTTACCAGCTCCCCTCGCAATAGAAATAAATGATACTCTGGCCTCCCCCAGTATTGTGGCAAGTTGTGGCACGAGACGTCTTCGAATTCAGCACCGGAAAAAAAGATTCTGGCAAGGTAGAATTTTGAAAAATCTCCACTCAAGCTTTTATTTTATAAATTTACAAAAAATATTACAAGCGCACGCTTGGAGTTGACTGTCCTTCTTAGAAACAAAACGGAATCACAGCTCACGCTATAAAAAAATATTCACGCCTCACGCCTAATTTTTTCTCATTTTCACGACTCACGGCTAATTTTTCAGCTGTTTCACGGCTCACGGTTAACCCCATTGAGACCCTCTTATAAGTTTCCCCCTCCCCCGCCTGAATTCTCAACCCCCCCTCCCCCCCCTCCTGATAAATTTTACCCAGTCCCTTATCGGCCAATTGAAAATGAAAGCCGAGATTTCGACAATAAAGTGAAAAAGAAAACATGAGTTTATAAGTAGCATTGTTAAAATGACAATGGYGGTATGTCTTTTTGATATCACAATGTACAGGCGCAAACTTTGTTTTGAAATAAATGGACATTGGCGGGATTATTTTTTTTACGATAACATGTATGAATTTTATTTTCAAAACTTTTTTTTCTAAAAGGTAAAAACGATATTGTATGTGATATCAAAAAAAACAAAAATAACTTTACAAACCTTTATGCTGGKTCTGTATGCACTTCGAATGTAGGTTTCAATATTAAGCTTTTCAATCAATGTAGTCTTGACTCCTGCAAAACTTTTTTAATTAGATATATGGTAGGACACAACGAAAACTATTCAGCTTTGTATCGTTAAGGCTAACAACAGATTAGAAGGTTAGTTAAGCATAAGCTTGATGAATGTGTATATATTAAAAAAGTTGCAATCGCATCAGTTTATTGTTTATTGTTTACACAATTCTTAAACATAGAACTTCTAACCATTTCCTATTTCACTTTTTACCAAATTTGTTTACTAATTCCAAGAGGACCACGTTTTTCTAAATAGGTTGATGTATTAGTGAGTATTCCATAAAAAATCATGTCTCTCATTCTCGCATGTAGTCCCATTGTASCGCGTTGCTATTACCACTGTTCGCGGAAGTGCGAGAAATTTCTAGATTTTTTCTTATTATGATAATCAGCACCATTCAGCATTTTTAAGCTGAAACACACAACATACATAGAGTGGAAGCATTGCACWTCATCATCTCTTTGTAGCAGTACCACACAAGTTGCAGCACCAGTCATGAAGACTCAACTGATCCTAGTTCTCTGTATTCCTGCTCTGGTGTTTGGATCTTCCTTACCTGAGTGGTTCGAAGAAGAAGACTATGATGGTAAGAAACAGCGTGCTTTTAATATGGTTTTTTATTCATGTAGAGAGCGTGAGTTCAATAAAATATACCTTGAGGGGGTGAATGGTAAAATCCGAGATCCGTCGAGACGCCGAGATCGCGATGTTAAAACTTTCYAAATTCCGAGAAGCGAGATTAATGTTTTGATGTTCTTGTTTATCGAGTTAACACGGAAAAAAACATTTATTTAGAACAATTATGCATTTAAAAATTCTTATAAATCAACGCTCTTGAGAGCATGCCGGCAACTCAAAATCCGAGATCTAATGTTATAGAAATTTCGAGATCCGAAGCCAAAAAAAATTGCCAGAAACGCGAGATTCCGAGATCCTTTTTTGGCAGTCCGAGATCTAGAGATTCTACCAAAAAYTGCCGAGACCCATTTATTTCTAGGTACCATTCCATGGGCAACTCCTCGCCTCACACTGTCTCGAGTAAGATAATCAGTATGAATAAAAGTGACAATATAATCTTGATCAAGTGCTGGTTAAAATGGTTTTAACCGTGTCCCATGACTATTGAAGAAACCTTTAGTTATAGAGGCATAAAGTCATGTAACAAAGCAGTGCAATAGTCTACTTAGTGGTAATCCATACAGCTTATTCCATAGTAGATTGAAGTCATTAAACCAATGAAACATTATTGTGTTCCTATMATGTAATTCATTAACAATTATATTTACTGCAAAATGAAAGCTTGATGAATAAAAATGATATTTCTTGACCACAATATTAATTAACTTTCTTATCCCCCCCAAGGGCCAAAAACGCCGCCGGCCCTGATTAGTATTAGTATAATATTTCACGGTCTTTTTTTGTCTTCACTCTAACTGATAGTCACAAAGAGTGCTAAACCATCAAAACCAATAGMAAATAGCACTTGATTGTACTGGATTAGGGGCTTCCTTTGTTTTGTATTGGCTAGTTAACGTTCAACTTTTTAGAATACAAACTCTAAATGTGTGCAAAACTTTGCTCTCTATCTACTACGATAAAACTGAAACACAGGAAACCGAAAACAATGAAACAGAAAACAATAGAATATTTAGTGGKATTTATCGCAGAGCGTCTTTTTGGCTGAAAGGGCTAACGTACATCAAGCTGACTGGATCAAGTAGAGGTGGACCGATGAATTTTGAATTTTTGAAATTTTGAACAGCGACTTTCAGCATATTTTAAGCAGTGAATCTATGAGTTTGCGCATCTGATCTACAGCCACTCAGTAGCCCCTACTCCACTCTCCACTGGAAAAATCTTACATCATATTTACATCAAATTTACAACCTTTACAGCGGAAATCGTTGCATCGCGACCTCTAATTTGTTTTGAAGTTTCTCTGGATTTTRTTCTTTCTTTCAATCTGACAGGCGGAGATTTTCGAAAACTCGTTCAATCATGCATTAATTGCCTGATTAGTATCAAGCTCCGCCCCCAAGTCGCAGAAAAACCTAAATCCCAACTATTTCCTTTGAACATGGAAGTCGCAATGCAGAGGTTTCCGCTGTAAAGCGCGCGATTATTCTARTAGAGTGCTCCCTCAATAAATAAAGATGATCATTTTTTCATATTTCGTAAATGYGCTGCTGAATGAAAATGAATTATGTGATGCTAATATCAACAAACTCCATCCATATTCATAATTAGTTTTCACAAGATACACAGACACTCAATCGTCTGTCAATTCCTGGTTGGCACATGAATAACAACAAAGTTTATACTGTACTTCGCATGAAGAATCTTTATTTAAGTGAAGTCAATAAAGTTGTGAAACACAATTTAGCTATAAAACTATGATAGTCAAATAGACGCAAAGGGAAACWATGCAATTAGAGAGCACTAAGTTGTATTAGTGTAGCTATAATTTTTACTTCGCACAAATTCACGAGACTTGACTATTACAAACTAGTACCAAATGTGAAAGCAAAACTTGACTATTAAAGTGTATATATATCATGTGTAATATCTTTTTCACGRTTTTGTTTTCACTCTTGATCTAAGTAATGTATCCCGCTAATCTGCATTTTCAGTTCCACCAGTTAATGGACAACAAGAAGACCAAGGTATTCATTTCTAAGATAATTGATTAATGACCATTTTAATTAAATTGATCGCATCGATTCGCCTGCATTAATTCCCTGCTYATTTCCCATCATATGGAATGATTGATTGATTGATTGACGGATTGGATGATTGATTGAGTGATGGAAGGCTTGCTGGCATGGTGGCATGGTGGCAAACTTTGCTTGAAAARTTAGTGACTTTCCTTTTGTGTTCAAATATCTATAAATGTTTCTTGTTTTTTATTACTACTACTATTTTTTATGATGATTAACTAGGTGAAGTATCCAAAAGGACTGAAAATGTAACGCAAGGTATGTAATTTACATTTTACTGTACTTGATATCATTTTCGCAATAGAGGATGGGAACTAAAATTACAAGCGGTACGAGCGAGGATAAGGTAGACGCACACCCATACAGTCTTGATTTAACGTTGTTGTTGATCGGCTTCATYCCTACGCGCCTAGACCGAAAAGGATTGCGGGTAAAGACAAATGAATAATAATTTGTCTTCTGTCAATCCGCGTAAGTCTTCACCTATACTCAAGACATGATTTTAATAAAGTTATCCTCCTTTTTAATCACATAAAATTAGATTTTGCCCCCCCCAACCCCCCCCCCCCTTGCTGATAAATATTGCGCAGTCCCTAATAGTTTATCGTTTCATGTAAAAGACGAAAAATCACTCTATCGATCACGAACATTCAATATTCTCTTATTTTTCGTGATGCTTTTTATTGACGTCAATATAAATCTCTAGCATTGTTTGGACCTGATCATAAGCCATACTGGTGTGGATCGGCTAACCGTGAATTGCTCAGCCACTACGTGACCAAAAAGGAGTGCAAGATCTTGTGCCTGMAAAAGTGTGGATGCAATGCTATCGAGTGGTGGGGAAAGTACAACTTTGCCTGCTTTTGGTGTAAGGCGCCTGACAAGAAAGTWGTTTACGGGTACACCAATGATCTCGCATATCCACCCCACGTGATAGAGCGCACTCCAAGCTGTGGTACAAAGTGATGTTGTGTCAAGTCTCCTCACTGTCAACAATTTATTAATACCATATCTATATTAAATGTTATAAAATAATACAAAATAACAACTGTGACTAACATTCTATCAACAATGAATAAATTCAATTCAAAATCTATAGAAGTCGAAATTTATTTTTTTATTATTGTTGTCTTAAATAAAAATTCTATTTTGTGGAGGCTCTAAAGGTTAGTCAGTTGAAGTTTAGGTTGTTTTTATCAACTTTATCAACTTCGAAAATCATCGAAAAAGTCAATGGTTAGTTACTTTTTAGGATGTCAGTCGTCCGTTACATAATAGAATTGTTTGTTAGTATAGGGACTGCATAATAATTATCAGGAGGGGTTTTTAGTATACAGGAGGGGGTTTTAGGAGAGGGTTTTAGAGGGGGACGTCCAAGGTAATCAACGAAGGAGATAGAGAGACTGAGAGAGAGGTAACTTTAATTTADAAACTCAACAAACCAAGAACCAGTAAGATTTGATTTTATCCAAAATCTCTACGAACACTGGCTATTACTATGTAAATTTCAAAAGACTTGTAAAAGCATTTATAAATTATTCCTCGTACTCAATGAACATTTTTTGCAAATGTGTTTGTAAAAATTGTTTGTAAAATACAATTTCCAAAATATTTACATAGTATGTAAACGAATGAGATTTTCCCAGTGATATTCGCTTTTTGTGCCAACAAATATGCCTGATATCAGACTCAATTTTAAGATTATAATTGATAGTGTATAAGCACATATAGAGAGAGGAAGCATCATACTCCAGCATCTCTTTGTAGAGAGTGCACGTAAGTTGAAGCCCAATCATGACTCATGCACTGATCCTAGTTCTCTGTATTCCTGCTCTGGTGTTTGGATTTTCATTATATGAGAGGTTCGAAGAAGAAAACTATGACGGTAAGAACAGTTTTTTATATTACGTAAAAGGTTTTTGTTCATGTTGAGAACATGGGTTCTATTACTTTCATTATTTTTTTATACTTTAATATTTATAAAAAGTGCAATGTTTTGTTGTTGCCATGACTACCKTTTCTTTAATTTATGATCATCAACCAGGTGAAAGTGTAACGACAGTTCGTAATTTTCATTAGTGTGCTCGTTATTTTGTTCTGGAGGATGGAAACTATGTTGCAATGGGTGCGAGTGAGAAGTAAGGTAAACGCGCACCCGTGGACCCTTTGACGGCTGCTTTTGGGAATATCGGTGCAAGAGTACGACCCCATTGGCCGATAACAAAACGAAAAAGGGACTGGGTCCGAACTTCAAAAAGCAATTAAAATAATGGTTCCAGAAAGAATAACCCCATCGTGTGAGAAAGCACCATATAAAGGCTTACTGACTACGTTTCATGACTTATAATTTGAATTATTGAATAWAATTGAATTGAAAATTGAATWATAGCAATAAAGTTATGGACACTCAAACCATGCCAAACTAAAAATTACAAAGAATTGTATGGTGTCCAGCCAAAGCGTCCAGYCAAAMATASATTCTTTATAATTTTAGAAAGTTTTGAAAAATTATATTTCCATTTCTAATGACTTAACTTGCCCAAACTTTAAACTTTAGCTAATTTRTATGTGCTTTTCTATCGACAAGAGATTTCTGTAAGATTGTAGCACTTTTAAGAAACTCAGTCCCAGGCACCTCTCGTTTTGTTGTAGGCCAATTAAATGAAGACATTTCTTTTGAATATGTTTTTAATTGCATTGGAGTATTTTTAAATGGAGTATTCGAGTGAACACTGTATACACCCCGGGGTGGGTACTCCCCTATATTCGCTATTCGGGGACGTGCCGCCAACCAGGGTATCGTTTTCAGCGATTTTACTCTGGAACTGGGTATCGTTTTTAGTGATTTTACTCTGGAACAGGGTATCGATTTCAACGAATTTTCTATGGAACAGGGTCAGGGTTGAATTCCGGAATTATTGATGCTGGATAAAAATTCATGGGGTAAAAATTTGGTCTACACGCAAGCTAGTGCAGGATTTTACTCTGGAACAGGATATACGTTTTCAGCGAATTTACTCTGGAACAGGGTATAGTTTTCAGCGATTTCACTCTGGAACAGAATCAGGGTTTTGACGTCCCAGCGGCACGCCCCCACCCAAGTTTGTATGCTAGTATGCTATGCTTATGCGCTAGTGAAGCCCACGGTCTGTCTAGCGGTCTGTTTTACATTGTGTTAGCCTAAAAACCATGTATTAATAAAATCTTTAATTCGGCAACAGCACGTGCAAATGCAAGAGATTCGTGAATATATAGAAGACAATGGAAATAGTTTGAAATATTACGAGTTTTATCTACATTTCTGAATATTTTAGCACACAAGAGGCTAACACAGCGTAAAAGAGATCGCGAAACTCAACTATTGTCTAAAGGACCGTTTACACTTGCAATTTTTGCAGCGCGATTGTCGCGCGACAATCGCTCGAACATGCTTGAAATTTAGCTGCAACTCGCGGCGATCAAAAATCGCAGGGCTGTTTGCACGTACGATTTGAGGTGCAAGAGAACAAATTGGCGATTGTTGTGCGACAATCGCGCTGCAAAAATTGCAATTGTAAACGGACCTTAAATGTAGAATATTCCACATTTTCTTATATTTTATAACGCTTTTTATTGATGTCAATATAAATTTCTAGCATTGCTTGGACCTGATCACAAGCCATACTGGTGTGGATTAGCAAAACCGTAAATTACTCATGTACGCGTGACCAAAAATCAGTGGAAATTTTTGTGCCTGCAAATTTTTGGATGCAATGCTATCGAATGGTGGGAAAAGTACAACTTTGCCTGCTTTTGGTGTAAAGCGCCCGACAAGAATGTAGTTTACATTGAGACGAACAATCTCGCATATCCGCCCTACGTGATAGAGCGCACTGCTAGCTGTGGTACAAAGTGAAATGGTGTCCAATGGTGGTGAAATGGTGGTGGTGGTGGTGGTTGGGGGGGGGGATGAGGGCTGGTGTCGAAATTGGGGGGCCCTGAAATAATTTCATTGGAAAATAGGGGGGTCTTGAATGTTTAAAATCATAGTTTAGGGGGGTCTTGAGAGTACACGAAATCAATATTTTTTTCAAATATAGTAGGCAACCACTCTTGTAGGCGACCACGACTACCTTTGGGATCTACGTTAGAGAGATGAAACAAGTACGGAATTAAAAACGTTTACAGCTCATATTCTAAGAGTATAGGGTGCCAGGTTTATTTTCATGAAGAGCGATGCAAAGCCAAAGCCTTTCAAGCGTTATCAAATTCCTACAAAATTGTCTGAATCGGTTTTTATTAGAATCGCAGTCAGTTATAGTTGGTTTCTTAACATACCGATATCATAAATATTTTATAGGTAGATTCATTGGGTGACGAGTGAATTCCGCGTTGAATTCACGAGTAAAGCCGATATCGCACGAATCGCGAAGTCGCCTTAATTAACCAGTTAACAAGTATTCACCGCTTCGTATAGTCTACGTAGTGCCCTGGGATGACGGCCGTCCTCGTGTCATTCACCTTAAAGGCCGCCACGGGCTACGTATGACTCCGAGACTCTTTTTCAAGCAACTAAAAACAGTCCATAGCTGTTGTTACCAATTCTATTATTACGCCTATATCACTATTATATGGATTTATCACTTGTGAATTCTTCGGAATATACTTAAAATTTGATACATGCTAAGTTATTGACTTTTTACGACTGTATTTCTTTGCTTTCTTATTTCTATCAATTGATATCATTTTTTTTTTCTTTTTTGGTCTCTCTCTTTTTCCTCTACTTTTTTTCTTTCTGCATAATAAAATAGATTGGATCATATATAATAGTTAATATTAACTATGATTGGATAGATACAAATACGTTGGGCTGCCTGTATTCTGCATCGCGGGCGCATCAACTTCAACTATCACCATGACAACGATTATTACAGCAGAAGTTCAAGATGGCGGTGTAAAAGTCAAAACAACACATAAAATGGCTTTCGTTTCTACACCGGGAGGCTTCTCATCGGCTAGAAATACAGGTAAAAACAATATAAGATTTTAAAGAATACATTTAATTGAAAATGTGACGAGAACTGTTTTTTTTTTTCGGAGAAAAATGCCTGCATGTTTTTGTAGTGAATACGAATTGAACTTCTCTCGTGTGTGGTCATCTCAACTTACATTTTATAAAAGGAATCTATTTTTTTCGTTTTGTAAACTGGAAGATGTCAATTTATTTACTTAAACTAAAGGTCTTTACGTAATTCTAAGTCTAAAAAAGTCGGATTTTTAGCACGATCGAATCAGTTATATTCACGTGTATTTTGACTATTCTGTAAGACTGATTTCTAATGCAAGTCGTAGTGAATATTTCGTAGACTTCAATTAAAATCGTTTTAAATACTAAATCAACAGCATCTAGGTGTCTTTCCCCATCAAAAGCCCAAGGCGCAGAGCTCTTTCCTGTGGCGTCTGGTGTGCAAGTTCCTTATGTTGGAGGAGATGAGTTTGTTATAAAGTCTCCATTTAACTTAGAAAGACCTTCAACTTATGTATCAGAATATTATGAATCTTCAAGGCTGGCTTACAACTCCGCAGTCACAACAGCTGTACCTCATAATAGTGGGAATTTTGTTTTTGGTAAAGTGGCAGTTGATCTAGATCCAACAGATGAGCAAACTGGAAAACTTCTACAGGTTTTATCACGCAATCCTCATACTGTCACAGACAAAAGCAGCAGAGAAATAAGCAAGACTTATCTACAAAAGATTAGTAATGGACTGTCATTTACTGATGATGTTGTACATTCACGTGCACCGCATACAGTTCCTTACGATGAGTTAAAGGCACAGGAAGTTTTTAAATCTAAAGGTGTTGTTCATATATCTAAATCTAAACCAATAGGACTGATTGGTCGGCATGACCCTAGAGGAACCATCAAAAAACATATGCCATGTCATTTGAAAGGGCCTAGAAAACTTAAACCTTTAGTTAAATCACTAAGTGCTCCTATTGAACACAAGAAAAGACGAGCAACTATTCAAACTGAATTAGGAATGCTTCCAAAGGGAAATAAAGACAACGAGTTAGAAAAAATTGTTTCTAGACATGAATGGGATGAGCATGTTTTAGCGTCTATTAGCAAATCTACAGCAGAGTGGATTGTTAATGAACATGGTGGGCAAGAAAGGGAAAGACTTGGAGGGTTTCTGAGTGAAYGCTACAAACCTCCTGAACCAGTAAAACCTGTTACAAAATCACCAAATATAGAAGAGAAGCAACCAGAAAAACTTCAATCAAAAACAAGTACAAAGGAGAGTAAAAGTGAGCAAAGTATTGATATCCACTTTGCTCCATCATTCAGTCTACCTCCGCGTGTTGGGGATAAGAAACTTGAAACAGACAATATATATCAACAAGAACTTCTTGGAGGAGCTCAACATGTTGCATCTAGAAAAGTAAAGGACCCTGATACAATAGTACTAGATACAAATGAAAAAATTAAATTTAAGAGACATCTTCAGGAAAATTTCCCTCAAGGTGCTACTTCATGGTACCCAAATGAACTGAAAARACAAACTTCTAGTACCTCAACAATAAGAAGACAGAAGAAAGGGCTTCAAAGATGGAATGATTTGCCAACTATTGTCCAGGTACTTGAATGTGCAGTTTAGAACTATTATAAAAATGATGCTGTTGGGAGGGGAGGGTCTTCTAACAAAAGCAAATTCATGATGGGTAGTGAAGAGATTTTCTGGTTGCATGAAACAACAGTCAGATTGTTTTATTTGTATCTTGTATTGGCTTGCTAGAGGTAGAATTTCACACATAAGTATACCAAAAACTTTCCTTTTTTGCATTTACATACTTTTGTGTATGCATATGGGTACAGGGGAAGGAGGGTTGTGTWGGGTGGTCTGAGCCATCCCAAGTTGTTAAGGTTCAAAAATTTAGAATACAATTAATTATGAAGATATGAAACTGATTCTGAAACAAAACTAAAACTTAAACAGTATTTTTCTATTTTCTGCAGCCATATTATTTATCCAAGTACTAGACAACAGGAGAGATAATTGTTCATTTTACCTTTTATTCATGATAAATTATTTGTTTTCATATTAGGATGATACATACTTGTCAACATTAGCCAGTTCTTCAGACATGAATATTTCAGACTTGAGTTCTGAATACAGACTGAGAAAAAAGATGAAAGAAGATGTCAACATTGTGAAAATAGGTATCTTGAATATAGCATTTTTAGATACATTTTAACATATTTTCTTTTCGCCCCCCCCCCCCCCCCCCCAAAAAAAGACAATAAACAAACAAACCCCCATCACCACCCCCACCCTCTCTCACCCCCAAAAAATAAACACCACCCACCCTCCCCAAGAAATGCATGGATTCTACATATTTTCTTCGTTTTGTTAATTGTATCTTTTTCATGTAGCTGAGGAGTGGAGGTCAAAGTGGTTCTTAGAGAGAAAATGGCAAAACAGTACCACAGAGGAACTTCTAAAAGCCATGACAGACATTAATGACCATGTGAGACTAGCTGCAGTAGCTGCATGYAGTAAAGCAGCGATGATTAGAAAAGCAAAGAAAGAAGAACCGGTCTTACAAGGTACACTTGCAGTAACATCATGACAATACTAACACATCTCGTAAAACGGTTTGGGGATAAATAGTAGTTGTGCTGTTTCTACAAAGAAAACAAGGAGATTTTAGGGGCTGTAAAAAGTACGAGGTCTCAACTCCTTACTCCCATCATTTTTTTTTGGTACAAAATGGCGTCGCTGCGCATTTTAAGGTTGTGTTARAAATTGACAACGCCCTGTCGTAATTCGATGACTAGATCTGTAATATTTACAGTCCTCTGACTTAACGTTGTCGTTGTTTGGCTTCATCCCTACGCGCGCCTAGAACGAAAAGGATTACGGGTAATCCCTTTTCGCAAGAAAATAATTTGTCCTCTATCAATTCGCGTACTATCTTCACCATATACTCAAGCCATGATTTTACCAAATTACTTGGGATCGAAAACAGCGAGCTCAAGACGCGTCAGCCAATGTATGCGGCAGCTAGCAACTTTGAGTGGCTATCCCCATAATCCTTTTTGATCCTGACGCGTAGACAAGAAGCTAATCAAACGACAGTGTTTAGGTAAAGGACGGTATATGACGATGATGACAATTGATGATGATAACAATGTCACGATGTTATTTACTCTAATTCAGGAATAGTGTTTGATAAGAGCAAGGATGTTGTTATAACCCTTGAAGCTACCCTTGAACCAGAGTTACTAGACATGGTCACGTTGTTGTTGAATGATAAAAATGCTCAAGTGAGAATAGCTGCTGCAATCACTCTGTACACTCTCAAGAAACCAAGTGATAAAGTAAGTTMTCGGACATCTGTAGTTGAAAGAGGAAGAGTGTTTTATTTTTTGTAAGTAACTTTACTTTTGTTTGTCTTTGAACGACCAGTCTCATRACTGACCATCTCCCATAACCGACCACTTTCTCAAGAAGTTTACGGCCGAGCATGTCTCTGTCCTCATTAGATTATATTAGATACAAGATGGAGAACACAAGAGAAGAAAGACTATCAAAACAAGTGCACAAAGTGTATTTCTTGCTGCTCGAGTGTTCTCGATGTGTTTGCATCCTGAGGACAGAGGAGGTGACCGTGACTTTGTGATTTCTCGCAAAAGCAGCAGACACATGTAATTTAAATCATTCCTTTACGTCACATCTTTTTTCTGTCGGTACATYTCGATTTTCGCTGTAGATGGTTTTGCGTTCTCTTGTTTTACGMTCGATGAACTGGTCGTCCCACGGTAGAAACTATATTTTACCATACCTTGTAGAATTCTCGCGCGCTGATTGGTCGAGAGCCGTTGTCGATCGTAGGACAGACCAATGAAATGACGAATCGCTCATTCAAAAAGTGTGCGCGTTCATGTGCGGTAGCATGAACTACCAAACTATCAAAGTGCGTTTGATTAGTTTCCCTTAAAAACAACTAAGAGGAGTGAGGAAGTAAACCACTGGGGCTTTTACGTCATATGCCGCATACGCAGTGCATTTTAGGATATGCTTGGTTCAAAACATTCCTTCAGATTTTCTTCACAAACGGATCCCACAATGCATTACAAATCAAGTAGGTGACGTAAAAGCTTCAGATGTSTATTTGGTACAAGTMAATTTYTTTTCATTATCAGGCCCAGACTGTATTATTATGGGCTATTGAGCATGGAGGTCCACCAGAGAAGTGGGCGGCTACTCAATGCCTTTCCCTGGCCAATACAGTATGCGAYCAAGTCATCAAYGAACTTGTCAGACAACTTCACTCTGACAACTCTGTGAGAGCTGTAGAAGCTGGTGGACTGTTAGCTGAGCTTAGCAGACATTCTGTAAGTATAAAGGAAGGACAGACGAACGAAATGGGTAGAGCAATTTTATTTAACCCGTGAAATAAATACTAAATAGTTCTTAACAATTAGTTACTATTTTGTACTAAATAGATGATAGCACTCAAGCGATTTGTTAGTAGAAATTATCCATGAATTAACTGAAGGTTGCGTTTTTTGTTGTTTTGCTTGTTGTTATTGTTTTTTTTTTTTGTTTTTCTGTGCAAAATACATTTATAGGGAAGGTTTTGGTAAACTATACCATAAAAAGTACAGAACAACTGTTAGAAGGTTTTTTGGCCAAGGATTATCATTCTATATTTTTCGTTGTATTATTTTGATAACACATCCTGCCTTTTCATAATTGACGAAACACTCGTTCTATCATCTCCGRGGGAAGGGAAAAGAAAAAGAGGAAGAAAACTATGATCTTTTTCAGAATTCTATTCATCCATTCATTGTTTGTATTYCAGGGCATTGTACAGTCTCTAATTGCTGAACTGTTGAACAGCAGTAGTTGGAAAGACAGGGAAACGGCTTGTAAAGTAATCCCTAAGTTAAGAGGAGGTATCAATAAGGTATGAATCTCAACCAGTTCATATTGATTTATGCAAATACGCATTCTCGCTTAATGTATAGTGGATCAAGACAGTCAAGGAGACGTAAGCTGCAATAGCGTGTGTGAAAACTAGCTAGCGAAGAAACTAGTAACCTTCCGTTATGGTTCCTTCAACACTTTATTTTCATTCTCCTCTTGTTAGTGAAAATTGTTCTTRATGATAACCTGGTCTTAGTGCGTCTATTATGGCTACTTATTACCCTTTTTTCAACAGGACATGACGCATAAATTATCATATTTAATGTGGAATGACTGGAATAAACAAGTTAGGTCCGCCGCTGCCCAGGCACTGGGCAAAACTGGAAACGGAAAGGTAAGCCATTCATTCGYCGTTTTGTTTTGTAATCATTTGTATTTTTTYAGTACACAACATACCATAAATTCTTTATAAATCAAGATTGTGCCTCGGCGGCGCCTGCAATAAGGTGTATTGCGAGTTCAGTCAGTCTCTTGCATAAGAGGAATTTGAAGCGCAGGTGATGTTTATAGGATACCTATACGGTTACTCATTTTATAATCCTGTGTTTTTTTTTTCACTTTATACAATAGAGTTCTCGAAAGTTCTTAAAGYATTTTTGTTATGTTCGGTGTTGGTAATGGTTTTAACAAATTGAACACGGTTTTGGGTTGCATGTGTTCTYATTGACACACTTTTGACCTTATGGAATGTTCAAAATTCAAATAGATCTCTGAAGCTTTTACGTCATGTACCGTACATGCAATGCATTGTAGGATATCTTTGGGACAGAACATGGCGGACTTCATTTGTTTTCTCTGGAAATTGATCCCACAATGCATTGAAAATCAAGTAGTGACGTAAAAGGCTCAGAAGTCTATTCAATGCAAAGGTTTGAATATTGTACATGTATAATGTCAAGAGTGTCAATAAGAGGACTTATAACGAGAAACCGCCAACAATTTGTTTTTACCATAATTGTTTAGTTCAAAAAATTKCGAAAATCATTCCTTAGCTGTCTGGCTAGTAAGCGATTGTAGCACGTTGTGAATACACTGCTACTGATCATTCCATTCATACACGTGTGGGAAAACGTTTGCGCTTTTCCTGTGGAACAGTTTACCTTCTTTGATCCAAAACCTAACATGATTATCATCATTCAAGAGCCAACTGAAGACTTTCCTGTTCCGTAAAGCCTTTGGATCATTAACTTAGATTATCATATGACCCGTATTTCGGCCCTACGCGCGCTCTCACTGAAACCTTTGGAAAATGGTCACGTGATGGGGTCCGTACGCCTTTTCGCGACAGGTCCGTACAAACCCGTATTTTCCCGCCTTGAAGTTCCGCGCGCTTTTATTTATTTTTTTACATTAAAAAACGCTGTCATATGATAAAATGCTTATTGACTCGCTGCGCTCGGTCCGTACGGCATAACCTCGAGCCAAATATTTTCCCGTACGGCCCTCCCACTCAGTCAATAAGTACATATTATTAACTACTAACTTTATTTCATAATTGACCACCTGTAATTCTAAATTAAAATTTCATTTATTGGAATTATTAGCTTTTAATTTTCATAAAAATACATTAAAATGTATTTTTGACATATTGTAGTGCACACGTCAGCATCTTCGTATGGTGCCTGGGCGATATAAATAATACATTATTATTATTAATGTTTGTCGATGTTTATGGATATAATGTTTGTTTAATTAGCTTGTCCATGATGCACTACAAAATAGGATTTCATCTGGTAATGAAAGAGTTAAAGTGGATGCACTTAAAAAGGTAAATAATGCACAGACTTACATCAGATCCTGGTCTGTTGTTTTTATAAGACATCACCAATCTTGTAAATCAATTTTATGTTGCCGTTCGACCAAGTACACATGGTGTCTAGGATAAAATATCATTACTATTGCAGCTAAATATCTAATTACGGTCGGGTAAAATGATTTTTATTCTTATCATCATCATTTAAATCATCATAATCCCTATCATGTAAATTAAACGTACTTTACAGTGTTGTTTCTACCGCAACTGATGTAATTTCCGTTTTATAATCGCTATCATACTCATTGCTATCTTAACAGCATCACTTCTTTGACTTTGTTTAGGTATTTATTATCAGGGTTCGTACAGTCTTCAAAAGTCCTTGATTTTGGAGCTTGGTACTTGAAAAGTCCTTTTAAAATTGCAACTTTTTCCTTGAAAAGTCCTTGAATTTGGAGGAAAGGTCCTTGAAAATGATAATTTAGTCCTTGAATCAGTCTTGGTTGTTTTGAAGCAAAAGGACAAGAATCCAATCCTTTTTGCGATACCCGTTCTACTATTGTCAAACATGGCAGCCAAGAAATTAATAGAGATTGAGGAAAATCTTCTCAAAGAGAAAGTTCTTATAAGTTGACTGCAATGTTCTTATTGTTGTTTTTGGTAAGACACAGGTTTAGTAAGTTTACTAACTGTATCATTCTCTTTGTAATTGGTGTCCTTGAAAATCTGAAAATTTATCCTTAAAAAGTGCATGAAAAGTCCTTGAATTCTGTATGAAAAAATCTGTACGAACCCTGTATTATCAATTCATTACATGAAATAGTTGAACTACAAGGAAACACACATGGTTAGTGACTCTTAGTTTCGTGTTTACGCACAGAATTTAAGCAGGAAACTCAGAGTCATAGAGAATCATGCGTGTTTCCTTGTAGTTCGCCTATTGTATGTTTTGTTCAATGCACTAATAGCGACCTTTAGATTTGAGAACGAAGACGAGAACGAAGACGAAGTTTCGAAAATTCGCCGTTACAGATTACGACAGCTAATGAAATGTCACGCAACTTCGTTGTCTCCTTGTTGAGAACGACGAAGTTTTTGCCAAACTTCGTTCTCTTCAAAACGAAGTTTTTATCAGCTTTTCTTGGACTTATTTTGCAATGAAAATCTGAAGAAAATACACGAACATCGACTGTGGACATCCCTTGTTTTACTTTGAGCAATAAGTATGCGGAAATATCCTTAGTTTGTGCTAAAAGTGGCATAAACTAAACCATGTCAAACTAGTTTTTCGGAGTGAATTAGCAATTTCTTTTGAATATGCGCGAGCGAGCTGACGACATCAAAGTTGTGCGCGCTCACCAACTTCGTCCTTCTCCTCGTCTTCGTTCTCAAATCTAAAGGTCTCTAATGTGTATTGAACACTGTTCAACTGCACTATTATCATTTCATATACAGAGAATATTACATGGGCGCGTGGAGATACGGATTTTATCTTTGAGTGTTGAAAAGATCTCTCACGAGTGAGCGTAGCGATTTTCAAAACGAGAAGTTAAAATTCGTATCTCCAAGCGACCATGTAATATTCTGTTTATCATATAATTACATATAAAAGCAAATTATGTTGTAAAAACTTTTTTTCTTGCTTTTACTATATAGAGAAACCTCGAATGTGTTATTTTACCTAGTTRAAATATCAATTTTACGAAATGGAGAAATATAGTTATTTCATAGATAATTATATGATAAATTTATTTACGAATCTC